ACATGCAAACTCCACACAGAAATGGCAACTGGCCTAGTCGGAACTCGAACCGTTGACCTTCTTGCTGTGAGGCCGCAGTGCTAACCACTGAGCTAACATTTGCATATATTAATTTATCAAATTAACAACAAAACAAATCTGCGTATAATGATGGACGCCACATATTCCCCCCTTTACCTTTTTTCACTGATGGTTTATTACTGGAGTCGTCCATTAAGGACTCCTCAACACACTCCGGCTACCAGCGCAGTGTGGGTGTCGAAATGGTGTGCGTGTGTGTGGGAGACACGGCCGGCGTCTGTGTGATCGGAGGTGGGTGGAGGAAAGGAAAAAAAGAGAAAATGAAAGACAAGGAGCAAAACCGAGAGCCCCTTCCTCTGGGCAGAGACATGACACACTAATGACTGAGAGACAGCGGTAGAGGAGTGCAAGCGTGTGTGTGTGTGTGTGGGGGCGGACTGGTACAAACACACCACGCTTCCACATCCAGAAGCAAAAACACCCGAGATGAGATGTTCATCTGCTTTCTGGCGCTGGGTGTGTGTGAGGAACATAATATTACAGCTTTCAGAGGCGTTGCTGAAAACAGCCTTAAACATAGAGGGGTCACCCAGCGAGAAAACAACCCAAAAAAACAGACTGAGAGAGTCGCATCAGCCGACAACTGCCGCATCACAGATGAAAATGCTGGATTTTAGAGATGCAGCGCGCTCTAGTGGTGAACAGGAGGGTTGCGTTTTAGACTACATGCACACTGTAAAAATGCTGGATTCACACAATCGATGTGTAGGAACATGAAGTTAACCTATTAGATTTATAAATTTAAGCAGAATTAACGTCAATTTGTTATGATTAATTAACCCCTAAGGGCTTTATCATCTCAGCTTGCTTTAAATTAGTTTGAGTGTTTGTTTCTAGTCCAAATATCTAAAGATTCTAAAATCAGGAAGCATTTTCTGGATAAAAAGAAGTTAAAATTAAGTGACTTGGTACTTAAAACAAGTGAAATAATCTGCCAATGAGGAAGGCAAAATAATCTACACTCACCGGCCACTTTATTAGATACACCTTTTCAACTGCTCTTGTCGCAAATTTCTAAGCCAATCACATGGCAGCAACTCAATTTATTTAGGCATGTAGACAGTTCAAACCGAGCATCAGAATAAGGAAGAAGGGATTTAAGTCACGTTGAATGTGGCATGCTTGTTGGTGCCAGACAGGCTGGTCTGAGTATCTCAGAAACTGATCTATAGGGATTTTCACGCACAACCATCTCTAGGGTTTACAGAGAAAAAGAAAATATCCAGTGAGCGGCAGTTCTGTGGGCACAAACGACTTGTTGATGCCAGAGGTCAGAGGAGAATGGCCAGACTGGTTCCAGCTAATAGAAAGGCAACAGTAACCCAGATAACCCTCTCGTTGCAACTGAGGCCTGCAGAAGAGCATCTCTGAACACACAACACGTCTAACCTAGAGGCGGATGGGCTACAGCAGCAGAAGACCACACCGGGTGCCACTCCTGTCAGCTAAGAACAGGAAACTGAGGCTACAATTCACACAGACTCACCAAAACTGGACAATAGAAGATTGGAGAAACGTTGCCTGCTCTGATGAGTCTCCATTTCTGCTGCCACATTCGGATGGTCGGGTCAGAATTAAGGCAGTTCTGAAGGCAAAAGGGGGTACAACCCAGTACTAGTAAAGAGTACTTAATAAATTGGCGGGTGAGTGTAGTTCTTGCTTTGAATTAAAACTATGTTTTGTTTTGGCAAGCAAAAATAAACTGAAAAGCCTGTAGACGGTGTCTTAAAGGTTTACTTTAATCACAAATTCAAGAATTAATTTAAAAACAAATCTTCAAAAGCAGTTCAAGCTGTAATGGAAAACGGGGTTTGGCAATGAATTACTAGCTCGTTAAATAATAATAAAAAAACATTGACTCGAATTGACTAAAATTGTAAGCTTTTTATTTCAATGACTAAATTTCAGTACTTGGGTTAAATGTTGGGTCAGATCAAACATGCAGCAGGGTGCCTTACAATGTTAAGTCGAGTCAACTATTCTTTTTTTTTTTCTTGCCATTTACACTGATGGATTAAAACTACAGTATAAGACTTTTGAAGCAATACCTTGCATTGTTTGTAACAATACTGCAATTGTATCCTACGCCACCCAACCCGCTCCGAGCTGGTATCAAACTGGCGACCTTCAGCTTGGGAGTCGGTTGCTCTATCAATGAGGATGAAGACCATGGCCTCTAGCGTCTGTCACTAGAGCACATTTAGAGGTCAGAGGAGTGAGATTTACCTGCGCAGCACACACTAGCTGGCGTCCGTTACATGATTATTATTTTATTAAACGCAAGCAGTTTATCAGTGCACAGTTTCAAGTCTTCAAACTTTAGAAATACTTACACTAATATAACAATGCTGGGTTGTTTTAAGCCACTGTTGGTGGTTAATCTTTTCAATTAGGTTTTTTTTTTTAACCCAACGGTTGGGTCCATATTTGACCAAACGACCAACCCAGCATTTTATTAGAGCGTACGTTTTAAAAACTACTATCTGCTGCTGTTATTTACATTAAGCAGACGAATTTACCCTTAAAGTGACTAAAAATCGAGGAGGCGTTCAAAGATTCAACATGAAGAGGCAACACACACACACACACACACACTAGAGTGCTGATTATACAAAAGAGCTGTTAGTGCTTATATATAGAGAAGAATTCTTCTACAGGTGGTTTGTCAAACCCACTCACCTGTGTGAGGCACACTTCAGAAAGGTACAGTTCTGTTTGAGATATGGAGCGAGTGTAAGGAAGTATTCAATGCAAATGTGCACAACTGGCGCAAGTGTCGGTTCGTGTCAGATGAGAGTGTGCTTTCTACAGGTGGTTTGTCAAGCCCACTTACCTGTGTGAGTCACAAGTAGATAAACTACTAGTTCAGTGTTTCCCAACCCTGTTCTTTAAGGCACACCAACAGTACACATTGTCAACCTCTTCCTAATCACACACTTGAACATAAGAGACTCCAACACCTGAAGTTAACGGGTCAGATAAGAGAGACATCCCAAATATGTACTGTTGGTGTGCCTTAAGCCTCCTTTCCATTGCACACGACAAACCGGAAGTCATTCCTTTCCAATGGAGAGCAGTCCGGGAGCTGCGTGCAGTCCTGATCATCTCCGTATGCGGAAAATTCGGATCTGAATTGAGCTGCGGATCCGTTGAAATATTTGAACTCCTGCGACAAGACCGTATGCGACCTGCCGACCGCATATGATTGAGTGTTGTGCAAGCAGGTCCGTGCGCATGAGATGAGAAATAGGAGTTTATTTGTTTCTTTTTTGAATTATGAAGTCTATATTTAAAAACAAAAAAACTTTTCTGTTCATAAATGCAAGTAAGAAAGTAATAAAAATATATAATGTTGTCTCCACATTACCTCCAATATTATAGCGGTCTGAGTTTCTAGCACTCATTCATTCATTAAGCCATGTAAACGCACAGAGAATAAAGGCTACTGCATTTGCACTCCTTTATTTCGGACACCGTGAGAATCAGCTTCTCCCCCACGGTGCACGACAACACTGGAAATACTGTGCGGCTGCCACAAGGGGGCGTATTCCGACGGTCATGTCCAAATGTCGTGTGCAGTGGAAAGACGGCTTTAAGGAACAGAGTTGGGAAACACTACTAGACTAAACTAGGAGGTTACCAGTAAATAAACAACCAGAATTGACTGATTTCAGAACAAAAGGTGAGCAATTTATGGCCCGTTTCCACTGAGTGGTACGGTACGCTTTTATGGCCGTTTCCACTGTCAAAAGGCATACCGAACCAAACCGTACCACTTTTTCGGGACCCTTTCGAAAGGGTCCCAAACACAAGAAAGGGTATCAAAAGGCGGAGCTAGACGGCTGAACGCTATTGGTTTACAGAAGAGATACATCATTCACTTACAACAGGCCAGAATGTAAACAAAGGACCCGCCATGTTTGAAATACACAGCGAGAGATTACAGCGGAATTATATATTCATATATCATCCTGATGACCAGCCAATCAGCCATGGAGTAGAGCAGAATCTACCCTGTGCCTTGCAGTTTTTTTACAAGCCAGTCTGACGCGCGAGCGGTTTCGCTTTCTTCCTTGCGCTCGCCGCGCGTCTAACGTTATATCTGAAACAACAAACTTCTTGAGCTGATAATAATAACGCGTGCTTGATCATTGATGTGCTTTGGAAACCCGATCCCGTGAGAAGCTGACAAACGCGAGAATGACACATTCAGAAAGAAAAGGACAAGCGCGAGAGTGGAGCGCGGAAAAAAGTCGGGGAAAACGGAGCACGTTATTTCTTCAGCAAACCTGAAAAAACTACCTTGTTTTAATCTTTATTATCACCTTTTGGACTAATATGAACTGGGAATGACTCTCTAACAGAGGCTTCATGTGCTGCTGAAGATTACAGACACAGATGAGAGGTTTTCACTGACTGTAGGCTACAGTATACTTTGTGTTGTTTTGAACCTAATTAAGGACTAAATGTCTGCTGCGTGTAGATTTTCTGTAGTTGGTAATATATCAGAGACTGTAAGGGTCTGTATGTGTTCATATGTTCATTTATTTATTTAATATAATTACAGACATTACAGTAGGCTGTTTTGCAGTCATTGATCTGCAGTTATAATCAACTCCTGTTTATAGAAAAGTCAGTAATAAACATTTATACACAAGTATTTATGTGTGTAAAGCATCTGTTTTGTGAGAAGTGCTTTTAATTTGATTTGTGAGCGACCTGTGCAGCTTTACGGTAGACATTTCCGAGCGAGAATAATGCGACTGAAACTTTGTCGTACACCACGCCCACCAAAAGGGTACCCTTTATAGTGGAAACGCAAGCCTGATAAAGGTGACCCGTATCGACCTGAACCGTACTGTACCAGTCAGTGGAAACGAGCCATTAGAGGCGGCTGTCATCAACGCAATGGCGCAAACTTAATATGTAAAACATTTATTGGATATTGCATACAAAAAAAAAAAAAGACAAATAGAAAGTAAAACAAATCACAATGAGACACTTTTGGCATGCGCCCTTCTCCTTTAGCCCTTCAAAAAGTCCTCACTTTTACCCACATAACACATTTATTCAGAGTTCACAATTTACGGCTCCAACTGCGGCAGCCTTGAATCACATTTCTGTGCTTTCTGATGGCAGAATTTACACTTTACAGTAGATTACTGATCATTTCTCATCAGATATACCAATATATCCGTTACATTAGTCACAGCTCTGGTCTAATAAAACCTGAAAGAACGAGGAAGGTCATTTCCTCACGAAAAAACAGTGCTCGCAACTAAATCGATGAATTAAAGAGAGTAAGAACAATTCACAGATGTGGAGTGTTTGGCAAACGAAACCATGAAGTTTTAAAAACAAGCTAAAAGGTAGATTTTATTAGCCAGAAGCTAAGTAACAAATGTACACAAATACAAGCTAAATTTCGCTTAAATTTGACTCAATTGACTCTTGATAAACTATGAGGCAGTCCGTTCTCAGAGCCATCAGAAGTAAACTCCTAATAAGTAAACATGTAGATTACGATACCCCATTAACATAAGAAAATAGTTCCGCACTGCATAACCTTAAAAACAAAACGAAAATGTTTCCCAGTCCAATTTTTGTTGTTTGCTTGTGCACACTGCACTCGAATATATTCACAAACGTATTTAAAACGTAGGTTGCGCACTAGGGTTTTTAAAAATCCTGAGGAAAAAACCTATCAAAAATATATACGATTGTAGCTAAAAACCAAACTGCATTGTTATGCAGCAGTCGTGAAAATTGACAAACCAACCCTAGCGCTCAGAGGACAACTCACGGATCAGTTTATTTATTCGTATAAAAATATTTGCAGCATGCATAATTGTCTGAGAAACATTTTAATAATAATAATAATAATAAAAAAACTAACAAACTGTAAAACTTAAAATGCGACAGAATCAACAGGGTGGATGTACACAGGTTACTCGCTAGATTCCTCAGCTAAAATATGGGCTTTATGTTTTGTTGGAGTGCTTTGCTAGAATCAATGCTAGCAATGAAAATAACAAAAGAAAAAACAAAAGGTCTAATTGGTTTCATTCCATCGTCCATTTCTTTGGTTAATCTGCCCGTGTGATGTGATCTTATTGCAAAAGTGTGTCGATTATGGTCAGAATTAAGAGTGAGTGCGAAACTGATCAAGCTGTAGGGTCAACCATATTTAACATTCAGCAATACATTCACATAAACGGAAAGTGTTCTGAGTATTCAAATAAGCCGTTTTTAAAATATTCAAATTGGGTTTAGGGTATTTAAACTTTTTATGGAATAGTCAGGAAGTATATATATATATATATATATATATATATATATATATATATATATATATATATATATATATATATGGATAGTTTGTAAATACTCAAATAGTTTTTAGAATATTCAGAATTTTTCCGAATATTTAAATTGGTTTTAGCATATTCAAACAGCGTTTAATGATTATCGAAACAACAATTATTGAATATTCAAACTGTTTTAATAGAATATTCAGACAGTTTTAGAATAATAAGATTGTTTTTATGGTATTTAAACAGTTTTTTAGAATTTTTAATTATTTTTTGAATATTCAAATAGTTTTTTTTTAGAATATTAACATTGTATACTGAAATATTCAGATTGTTTTTAGAGTACTCAAACTTTGTAATATTCACATTTTTAAAAATATTAAGACTACTTTGTTATTATTGCAAGTTTAAATATTCAAAGTTTATTATTTAACTTGTTTTTTATATTTAATTTTAGCAATATTCAATTTTTTTAGAACATACAAACAGTTTTTATTAATATTCAAATTGTTTTAGAATATTCAAACTGCTATTTGGGAATATTAACAGATTTTATTAAAAAAATACGTTTTTCAAGTCAAACGTTTAGTACTTGAATGATTTTTAAACAGCCCTTAAATATTCAAAATGTTTTCAGAATATTACAATAAACTTTTTAATAATCAAACTGTTTTTAGAATATTTGGATTGATAATTTTTTGAAAATTAAAACAAAAATATTCAAATAGTTTCTGGAATATTCAGACTGTTTTTTAAGATTCTAATTATTTGTTTGGATACTCAAAATCTTTTAGAATATTCAAACTGTTTTAGGAATATTAACAAATTGTAATATTCAAATACTTTTAGCAACATTCAAATTGTTTTTCAACTTTCAAACAGCTCTTTAATATCCAAAATGTTTTCAGAGTATTCAAATAACTGTTTTTAGAATATTCAAATTGGTTTTAGCATATTCAAACAGCTTTTATAGAATATCCAAACAGTTTTTACCGATTATTCAGACAGATTTTGGAATATTAACAATATTTAAAGCATTTATTGAATAGTCAAATTTAATATTCAAATAGCTTTCTCAACTATAAAATACTTCGCACCTTTAAATATTCAAACAGTTTTCAGAATATTCAAACTTTAAAATACTGAATAGAGTAGCTTATCCAGATCCATTCCATCTTTTGACACTATACTCAAAGTACCGTTCTGGTGGCTCATTAGCTAGCAAACATTCAAATGAACACTCTTCAGCTATTAAGGTTATGATGGGGTCTATTGACATAAAAAAAAAAAAAAAAGAAATCACTGATTTAAACACAAATAACACTACGTAAAGCATAAATCAAACACCGCAAATCGTGTCAGAGCCCTAAATGTTTTATAAGTAATCCTGTAAATGTTTCCACCCTGTTCATCTGGTTAGCAAAGCGAAAACAAGGGGTGTGCTAAAGCGACAGCTGTCAGTTACAGGCTATATAGTGCACTACAGAACACAATTCACCCATTCATAACCCCGCAGTGACCAATGAACACGCAGATTCTTTAGTCACCGGCACGCACAAATACTCTCTAATTTCAGGTCATTTGACTTTTCTCCGATGGCGTTGCATTATGGGATGTTTCCCTCACTCTTGCTGTCTGGAAAGACTATTATTGAGGAGCTGAGAAACAGCTCAAGATTAACTGGCTTTACAAATGAGGTCCGTGTAGAAAATAAAGGATTGAGGGAGGGTTGTTATGCGCTCATGATCAAAGAATACAAAAAGTAGTGGCTCTACAAAAAGACTGACTGGTGGGAAAGGGAAATACTAAAAGGTGCGCGGCTCCATCACATCACTGCACATTCTCTGGCTCTTTGAGTCTTTGGATCGCCCTGAAAAAGACAAAATCAATTAAAGGTTACTTTAGAAAAGGTCTGCTGGATTAATTATAATGCAAAACTTCTAAATCATTGTATTAGCCTAATTATTAGTTCATGTGTCAGGCTTTTGCAGTAGTTTGACTGCAGTGTGATCGAAAAACTTGACATTGTTGCGATATGAACTGATTCTCTTGAATAGCTATGTTTAAATTCACAAATGCATGACGAATTTTAGGACAAGTACGAAAAACAAAAACACGAAAATTATGGATTTTGTGTACAAAAAAAACTTTAATGTATTTGCAAGCCTGATAATTGCAAATAAACGAATCTAACCGTACGTTCACACCAAAGGCGAGAGCGTCAAAGCAGCCGGAAGTCATTAATTTTCAACGAGAGCAGGCTGTGATAAGCGGCGAGGAGCAGCGTGGCACGTCTTCGCTGGCGTGGGAGTCAAGGAGAGTTGAAATCAAGTCAACTTTATAGGTTTGGCGGCAACCAATCAGAATTAAGAAGTCCACGGCTTGATCGGAGTTCAGAGAACACAAAACTGTGAACTTTGGTTACGACCAAAGTTGTTCCCAAGGGTTCGATGATTGCGGTCGCCAGATTTTCAATTATTTACAATGTTTGCTTACAGGAACATGCATTAAATAAGTTACTGATGTGCATTAATGTTATATATATTTATCTTAAAGTGGGAATCTCACGCGACGGCTGGTCGCTCACGGATATTTCAGACATATGGACACATATTGGATAAATAGAACAAAGCCACACCACACGCAACTTGATCTTCTATTGTTATATAAATTTGATTAGAAGTGCGCAACGTTTTCACGCTAGAAAGCTTGTTCTATGCAGGAATGTAACTGACATGCTGCAACGGCTCCTTTAAATACGAGATCAATGTAGCGAGTTTTGATGCTCTCGCCTGGGTGCTGAAGGCAGACATCGTTGTCGCCAGAGCGACCTTGGACGCTCTCGCCGCTTTCGGTGTGAACGTACGGTAACAAGGACGGCGAATATGAAGAAACGCAAATAAAAATGACAGATTCAGTGTGTAGAACTTTACGCTGTTCACAAACCTGCAGATTGTGCATGAAGAATTTATGTTGATGGTAACAGATAGGGCTGCACATTATATAATTTCAGCATCGATAATGCGAAGTGCGAGTCTCCAATAGTCAAATCACAGGGATAGTCGGGATTATAGTTGACCAGACATTGCAGGTCATTTTCAATTTTAACTTCAGAGTGAAAGTTTATTATATGCATGTGTTTTTAAGGCCTGACAGTAAAAATTTGAAGCAAACTTGAAGCTCTGGGGCAGAATGTATTAAACGTTTGTAGCTTAAACATTAATTGAACATTATATAATTACTCAATTAAAACACATTATTATTATTATACAGAGATTTAATTTCTGCTTCACAATACTGTTTGAGCACCCAACGACACAGGGACACTGAAGCATTTTAAAGCCATGATTCATCAGCAGATCACTCGTATGTCAGCTTATAGACAGACCAGCAGATCGATGTGACTTTGAAACACTCCAGAGTCCCTGTATCCGTTTACACTCAGTAAACAGCGGTGAGTTCGGTGAACTGATGACCTTCACAGCCAATCACAGTCAATTCTGTTCAGCACATGAACACAATGGCCAATCAGCGCTGATTAAAAACGCGCTCAACAGTTCGAGGGGATTTTACTTTTAAAAATGTCAGTATGGATTGGTACCGAATTCCAGTACCATGACAATGACAGGGTTTCTGCAGGTTTAATCAAGTCATATTTAAGACTTAAGACCCTTTTAAGACCATTAAAAATTTAACTTTAGACTTCTACAGAGTTAAAGACTTGGCCCCAATGGCCCTGTATTATCATGAGGAATTGTGTAATTGTTTGTCCCTAATTACCGAGACTTTTTGGCATTTTGCTGTAATAATGTCTAATAAAAACTTATTTACATATTAAAAGAAAGGTTTTAGTGAGATGTATTGTTGGTCATTGGATGGATGTCAGTCTGACTGAGTAGCTTTACCTCGATAAAGCAAAATTAAGACCAGTTTAAAATGATTTAAGACCTACAACACAATATTTCAGAGAGTTTAAGACTTTAATGCGTAAAATTAAACATTTAGATTATTTTAAGACTCAGCGAACACGCTGTAATGATTATTCGGGATTTATCTTTTTTTTGGCGAACCACGAACTAGCATGCGTTTGGACTGTGGGTTAAACCTGAGCACCCAGAGGAAACCCACGCCAACACGGGGAGAACATGCAAACTCCACATAGAAATGCCAACTGGCCCAGCTGGGGCTTGAACCAGTGACCTTCTTGCTGTAAGGCAACAGCGTGTCAGATAAATTAAGACGATGATTTTTTTTTGTTTAAAAACGCACAAAAAAAAGCTTCAGATTCAGTGCAAAAGACCTTTACGCTTTCACAAATCCACTGATTGTTGTTGGCAAATTTTTAGCATGACAAAAACAAATAAAAATAAAAATTTGGAATTCAGTGTAAAGACTTTTACATTTTTCACAAGCCTGCTGATCGTGCCAGTATTTGATGAATATGAATTAAAAATAAAACTTGGATTGAGTCATTCTTTACACACCTGCTGATGGAAAAGGTCTTCATCTCCAAAGTCTCCCTCCTCATCGTCACCATTCTCCATTTCTATCACGCTTTTTGTGACGGTTCGCTTCGCCACGTCCTGTAAACAGTGATTATTAAATGAGAAAGGGGTTCACACATTAAAAATGATTGAAAAATGGCAAATACTATTAATAATAACAACAACAACAACTGCACCTCTCCGCTTGAATTGACCAATAGGGTGAGGATGTTTTCTCCGGTTCCCCAGGAGCTCTGGCTCTTCCACAGCAGGTCTGAAGGAGGACTATGGGACATGCCAGCATCAGCGCTCCACACCTGACACAAAACAAAACCTTTAACATCTAAAAGAGCGTCATTCAAATACATGAAATTAACGAGATCTGGTCCAATTGGCTTACCGTAACTGTCTGACCGGCCTTCAGGACAAACTTGGGGCTGAATTTATAGACAATTTCCTCTCCGTCTCCAATTTGTCTCTTTAGTCGCCAGCTGCCCAGAGACTGATCCTGAATTTAAATAAACAAATGATGATTAATTGCTTTTTTTTTTAGGTTTTGTTTTAGGCTAGAATGTTAACCAACATGCATCACCATTAGAAATGGTGTGTTTTAAAGCAACCTAAAATGTTTAAATGGCATTGAGTTATTAAATACACAGATTTATATATATATATATATATATATATATATATATATATATATATATATATATATATATATATATATATATATATATATATATATATATATATATATATATATATATATATGCTAATAAACCTAGCATTTAAATTAGAAATGTTCGATTTCAAAGAATACTTTTATGCAATCCCACATATTTTCCCAGTCTGAGTCTTCAGTACCTTGTCAGAGTTGTTCCTGAGGGTCACAGATTTGCCCTCGAGGTCGATCTCCTCAATGCTGACGCTGCCGCTGGCTTCAGCCTGCTGACTGATCTGCACTTTGGGGCCGGCGGTGGATGACTCCTCCAGCTCCACACGCTTCCTCTTGGCACGAGAGCTCCGTGAGGACGCAGAGGTGCTGCTCGCTGTGGTGCGGGACACCGTCACCCTTGAGGACGGACTGGGAGACAGCTTGAGCCTGGAAGAGAATCAAACAAACATATAGATCTGCACTCGAACCCCGCAGGAGATGTACATGCATGTGTGTGTCTGAAGAATGAACATGTGGTGCTTTTATGAGTGCTAGGGGTTTGTGTGATGTGTACATTTAAATATTGTCTGCAATCATATCATAATTGCAGTTTTAACAGAGCAGATTTTGTAGAAAGTACATACAAAACTTCCAGTAAAAGTGCTTTTTTTATTTTTACAGCATATACAGTTGAAGTCAGAATTATTAGTCCTCCTGAATTATTGGTCACCCTGTTTATTTTTTCCCTAATTTCTGTTTAACGGAGAGCAGATTTCTTCAGCACATTTCAAAACATAATAGTTTTAATAACTATTTATTTTATCTTTGCTATGATGACAGTAAATTCTGTAGACTTGATATTCAAGACACTTCTATACAGCTTAAAGTGACATTTAAAGGCTTAACTACGTTAACTAGGCAGGTTAGAGTAATTAGACAAGTTATTGTATGATGATGGTTTGTTCTAAAAACTACTGACAAAAAAAAAAGCTAAAAGGGGCTAATAATATTGACCTTAAAATGGTGTTTAAATTCAAAACTGCTTTTATTCTAGACAAAAAAAAACAAATAAGACTTTCTCCAGAAGAAAAAATATTATCAGACATACTATGAAAATTTCCTTGCTCTGTTAAACATCATTTGGGAAATATAAAAAAATAAAAAATAAAATAAAGGGGAGGCTAATAATTCTGACTTCAACTGTACATATACCCCCTTCAAAAATCATCATGGTACCAAATGTAGTTTGGATTTTACAAACACAATAGTTTAGTAAATAATAATACTAAGATACACATTTACGTTTCGCTGAACAGTGACATGCCACCTAATTGTGGCTTTAATTTCTCATATAAAGGATCATTCCATTTTTTTTTAGTCAAATATCAGAATCGAGGTAAATAATTTTGCATTTTAGTTGACCAATCAGAGCATAGAGAGGAGGGGCTTACACAAACATTAAGCCTTGAAAGGAATCAAATAGAAATCTCTGCAAATAGTCCTAATATTAAATGCATATCCTGAGAAAATGATTTTCTGACCTGAGATGCATCAAAACAATATTAACATTGAAATAATTCAAAAGTAATCAGTTTGGTAACCTAAAATCATTCTCGCATGTGAACTAATTTAATTAGATGTGAACTAATTTGATAATCACTCATTTAAAATGCAATCGTAACAAGGTCGAGTTCACCAAGCCTAAGAATGTTCATATTTAAATATTTGTAATATATAAATGAGATAAATTAGTTTGGTACTCTCGGCCCTCCTCACTAGATCAAAAGCTTCAGCAGTCAGCTCTCAGTACAATAACACTGGCTTATCACAGTTATCAGCTAAAAACCAAGATAATAGACATTGATCCATCTCTTTCCTCCAATATCACACACCCCTCGACCGCACTATCATTTTACATTTCCTCTCTATCATCCGTCCTCCAAATATCTCAACTATCTGCTCTCAATCTCCAAGATGAACTAGCCGTCTGTTAGCGTCTTCATGGTAAACCGCGCACTAGTAGGGAAACGCAATTATCATTCCTCCCTGACATTCTACAACCTACCTGTGCCTCCTGGAGTATGTCAAGTATGAAACGCAAAAAATGTGAAGAGGAGCGTTCCTGAGCAAGTCACAGACTGCAGGTGTGTGTGTAGACGAATAATCATAATAATCAGCTGTCAGAGCACACAAAGTGCGTGTAAAACACTCCGGAATAGCCCAAAAATGTGTGGCTTGTGTGCTAAACGCTTTAACGGGTCACAAAACAAGCATTTTAAAAGTCATGTCAATTGTGTTCAAGCACAAAACCCGACAGCGTACTTTAGTTTTAAACTCGGACAACCAAGTGACAATTGAGTGCATTAAAAAATGCTCTCACAAATACCGCTTTCAGCCTCAGATGTGCTTGAATGTCATTTTAAAGTGTAGTAAATAAACCAGACGGCACTTTCAGGCGCGAGTCGAAAGCTAAAAAAGCCTAAATTGCGTCCAGGTTCACATTCCTCCCATGGCTGATTAAAAAGCACATCTGAAGAATGTCTACCGAGTGCGAGTCAATAATAAGTACATGAACGCGCTTGAGGGCGTTTAGCTTGAAGGCATTTTAAAAACCAGTAATCTTAAGGTGTGTTTGAGCGCTTTTCAAAACTGAGCAAACCAGCAAGATTTAGATTCAGAAAGATGCAAGAGGAAGATTCCTAGATATCATACTAGGGGTGTCACGATTTAGATTTTTAATCGAAATCGATCTAAATTTATGCTCCATTTCGATTATCGAATCAGAAAATAGAATCGTCGATGCTGCCACGCCCCCATGTCACGTCAGCTTGGCTTGCCAAGCGGGAAAAAACAGGCTTGTTGAAGTGCTTGTTAAACTTCATACGCAGGAGACCCGTCGACAGAGCTTAAACCTTCTCCTCTTTCAATGAAGTCGCCGGTGTGGAAGCATTTTGGATTTCCAGTGAGTTATGTTGACAACGTTTGTGTTGTCGACAAAAAAAACAAAGTTTTGCAAGCTCTGCTATGTACGTATTAGGGTTTGTCCGATAGACAACACCGGCATCGCGATCCTCCACCCGCCCCCGTTGCGAATCCGCTCGCGAAAAGTACACACTCAGGCCCTGTTTACACTGTCTTTGTTTTTAAATGGCATTTTAGAACGACAATGATTTGACATCCACAGTGGCGTGTAGCATTTCTGAGCAGCCCTCCTTCCTCTCTACCTCTGAAACATCACGTGACCACACAGACACAGACGCACTCACAGCAGGTCCAGGCAGTCAGAGGACTGCTTCAATCTTTCACTCACTTGTACTTAAGTCATTTTAGCGAACACCTCAGATACTGTTGGCTGGTTCCTGTTGGTTGTGCGTCTTTTTTACCGACGCCATTATAACGATACAGATCACTGCCTATTCACGAGTCCCTTAGAAAAAGTGATTGACAGGTGGTAATTATGTGTGTATCTTGCCTTTATTCATTTACTGTATGATTTGTTTATGGGTAAAACTAAGACCAAGCAGGTCAGGTAGTTTAAACAGTAGGCTACAAATAATTAATTGGTCATTAATTAATTAATTATTCATAATCGAAAATCAAATCGAATCGTGCCTTTAGAATCGAAAATGTAATCGAATCGAGGATTTGGAGGATCGTGACACCCTTATATCATACGTTATAAATGTGGTTGTGTTTTCAGACCCCCTAGTTTTTCCACGATAAAAATGACTGATTTTGTGGGGGTAATTCCCTAAAGTTGGCTGAAAATTTCCCAATTTTAAATTCCAGCACTTTTAAAGCACTTTCAGGGTGCATGTGTATGCTTTTCCAGCACCTAATAACCACAGTTAATTACGTTTATATATGTTGTATGTACTTTTTCACATTTAAATCCATTGTGCTATTTTACAAAACACAATATGGCATTTCAACCTAAAAGGTTGAGTACTTTAGAGTAGTGGTCCCCAACCACCGGGCCGCAGACTGGTACCGGTCCATGGAACAATTGGTACCGGGCCACATAAGAAATCATAAATTATTTCTGTAGAAAATATTTCCCCTGCGACTTGGTTTCTTCCACTCACCCCCGCATTCTCATGTGAAATGGACTATGCCAAAATCCACCACGGAGCGGGAAGAACGATCGCTAGAATATAGCTCAGTGGTGGTTGTTGATAGTTTAAAGTAGGGGTCGCCAATCCTGGTCCTGGAGGGCCGGTGTCCCTGCAGGGTTTAGCTCCATCTTGGCTCAACACACCTGCCTGGATGTTTCAGGTATACCTAATAAGACCTTGATTAGCTTGTTCAGGTGTGTTTGATTAGGAGCTAAAATCTGCAGGACAACGGCCCTCCAGGAACAAGTTTGGTGACCCCTGGTTTAAAGTTATAAAACAGGTATTATAGAGTCCAAATCAGCAGCGCATTTAAGGATTGTGCATATATGTGTGCGTGCATCGTTAAGTAAGTACCTGAAATCATTGCAATATGCATCTATATGGAGTTTCACATAATCATACTTATTAGGGCTGTAACATGCCAATGCATACATTAAATTCGGCTTTACGGTTGTATTATTGTTAATATGTTCGTCAGTTGAGATGTTTGGCACAGATGTTATGCATTTGATGTATATAAACCTTGATTGAAACCTAATTAGACCGCGATAGTGCAACTAGCGCATGCGCACCGAGTTGTTCATGATTAACCTGGATGCTTGAGCGCATCAGCTGTGTTCACGTGAAGAGCAGCTGATGTGGGGAAGAACGCTGGCAAAATTAAGTGTGATTATTGTGATAAACTAATAAGTTATAAAAGCAGAACAACATGACAAGGCATCTGCGGTTGGATCACATCACAAACATCAAATTAAAAGAATGGCGTATAAGGTCCATTGTGCATCCAACAAGACTTGTGCATTTTAGTTTAACTTTGAGCGTGACTTAGACTTAGAATATCTTTATTGTCCCCAAAGGGCAATTAAGTTTACAGCAATAGCCGATAATTGACAGCAACAAGTCACATTTGACAACATAAAATAACAGTAAACAATGCAATAATCACTTAAAGCTTATTTAGTAACCCAACAGCCGTTGGAACAAATGAGTACAAGTATCTATTGGACCTTGCCCGTCTAGAATAAGTGTACCTTCTGCCTGATGGCAGGAGGCAAAACTTTAAATAAAGTGGGTGGTTCTCATCTGCTAAAATGGACATGACCTTCTTTACAACTCTCTCCTCATACACTTGTCCAATACTGTTAAGATTTATACCCAGGATCTTTTGAAATTGATAAACAATATTTGAAAGTCTGTTTTTACTCGTCACCCTCAAATTACCATACCAGCATATTACTGCAAAAGTTAAAAAGAGTCTCAATAAAAGAAGAACTTCCTCAAGTAGAACAGTCTTTGATTTGCCTTTTTACAGATAAAATTAGTGTTGGCCTCAAAGTTCAATTTGTCATCCAAAATGGTACCCAGATATTTATACTCACTCACTGTCTTGACAGCCGTACCGTTTATAGTAGTAGTAGTAGCATTAGAAATAGAGTTACGGCGAAAATCAATAAGCATCTCTTTAGTTTTTGAGATATTAAGTTGTAAATATGAGTCTTTGCACCATGCAACAAAGTTGTCCAACACTGGACCATGACCCTCCTCATGATCATGCAAAAGACTAACAATGACAGAATCGTCAGCGTACTTAATTACATGCCTTGATTCAAATTTACTCTGACAGTCATATGTGTAGAGTACGAACAATAGTGGTGATAGCGTGAGGTGAAACGGCAAATTCTCTCCTCCTCAAATGCTCCCAAACATATTTAGAGGTCGCAAAGATAAAATTTTGGGTGCGGTCACAATTTCGAGCCCTGCTTGATGATGTAAATACTTGCAGAGATTTATAGAACTGAAGTGTTGCATATCGATATCTACCTACAAATCATTGTTGACAACTACTGTGAGAAATCATTAACATGATGTCTTCACATAGATGAATATCCTTAATTATGAACAATAACATCATTAAAAGTAAATTGAGCAAGTTTTTTATTTGACAAGTGTGTATCAAACTGGTAGCCCTTCACATTAATCAGTACCCTAAAAGGTTGGTGACACCTGTTCTACACTTCCTGGACTGTTCTTTCACATTTGAGAGATACAAAATCACAATAACTTTTGATTTTTAATACTGACACAAGAAAATGTGATCTCAGAATTGAGAAGCTTTTGTTGTCTATATTCAAGTAAGATAAAATTATATATAAAATAATGTTCACAATCCAAATGAAAAAAAAAATCATATTAAATTCAAAATTAAACTACAAAATTAAACTCCAAATTTAAAAATATGGACTTACATGGTTCTTCGTCTTAAGGCCTCTAATATTGTGAAAAGAGCAACACAAATGAACTCGAATTGAAGTATGCAAATTACTTCGCAGAACAATGTCTGATTTGGAATCCAGTGTTCCATTTTAGATTCCGCACATTCTAAATCCCTCATTTAGAACACATGTTGATGTCTTGTGAAGAGCGCAGGTGTTTAGTGTGGTGTTGAGGCTCACCTGTCCTCCTCTCCCTCCAGCAGTTTCCTGTAGGCGTTGATCTCCATGTCCAGGGCCAGTTTGACGTCCAGCAGCTCCTGGTACTCGTTGAGCTGCTGCTGCATGCACTCCCTCATCTCTGCCATCTCGCGCTCTTTAGCGTCCAGCTGGCGGCGGTATTTGTCCCGGTCACTGGACAGCAGGCCCTCCAGCTCGCGGATGCGCTCCTCAGCGGCGGACGCCTGCAGGTGGAGGAAGAGGAAAACATGTCAGGAATGATGTCTCGTTATTCACCACAGCATTAACCACGATGGAATGAGTGGAATTTAATTCCTAGAAACTCAAATCCTGTTTTTCTTTTTTTTCTTTTCTTTTTTCAAACAAGATATATTAGAGAAACCTATATTTAGCTAAAACAATTTGAGATAAAAGTTCACTGAATATCTTATTAAAGTATTATAAAATGTAACAGTCAGATTTCTAGATAATAATAGACATGTATATTAACATGTCAGTTGATGAAAATACACAATTACAGTTTAATCTGTCAAACTCAAATGCTACTAAACACATTTCAGCAATGTAATGCAACTTAATGACACTTGGACGAGAAGCTTCCTCTGCTCTGCAGGTGTGTTTTACCTGTTTCTGCAGGGCGCTGAGCTGATAACTCAAACCCTCGATCCTCACATGAGCCTCCTGCAGCTCCTCACGCGCCGTCAGCACCGCTTTATCATTCAGGTCAGAAGACACCTTGGCATTATCCAGCTACACACAAAAACACACACGTCAGTTAGCACACAGAGCATGTTTATAGTGATTAGGCCGGTCACTATTAAGGGAAAATTCTGAGTCAAAAGCAAAAGCTTTATATGCATGTGGCTGAAAAGAAACCTGCTTTGTGATAACCTTATTTTTTGTTTGTATCAATGAAATAAAATAAATCTTGGCCGATAATAATTGCTGATTTTTATTTATTTTTTGGTAAGTGTGAGCTGCTGATACCACTTTAGATTTTTCTATAATATAAAACTAAATATTTTATAACCGATAACATACTTTCAATCTAAGCTAAACTTTTATTGCAATTTCTTATTCAAAATAATAAACAAATGACCTGAATTATTTAAAAACAAAAAAAGTTAAAATGCTATCGTTTAAAATGGTAAACGTATTCGTCATTAAAACAGACTGCAACAACACTAGCAAAACTGTAAAAGGAGATTTTAGCAAATATTTTGACGTTTTAAACCAATATTATAAAAGTTTTCAGGTCATCATCTCAGCCAGAAATTGTCCTGTCCTATCAAATCACACACCAATGAAAAGCTCAACTTATTCAGTTTTTAGACGATGTAGAAATCTCAATTTCCAAAAATTGGCCCTTATGATCACCTTAGGGTCAAACATAAGAACATTTAGTTTCTTAACATACACTGCAGACTATAATGCTTCATTTCTACTGAGTGGTGTGATACAGGTCACCTTTATCAGGCTTGTCTCTCCACCATTGGTGCACTTTTGGTGGACATGCTATGCGACAAAGTTTTAGTCAACATCATTCTCGCTCGAGGAAATGTCGATTCAATTCAATTAAATTCAATTCAATTCAGCTTTATTTGTATAGCGCTTTTACAATGTAGATTGTGTCAAAGCAGCTTCACATAAATGGTCATAGTAACTGGATCAGGGTAGTTCAGTTTTTAGTGTTTAAGTTCAGTTCAGTTTAGCTCAGTTCAGTGTGGTTTGAAGTCATTACTGAGAGTTCAAACACTGAAGAGCAAATTCATCGATGAGAAGCTTTTCAGAGATTAACGACCTGTACAGCTTTGACAAAGCATAGCTGTACAGGTCGTTCACATATCATACGAGAAGCACTTCTCACAAAACAGAAGCTTTAGACACATTATAACTTGTGTTTAAATGTTCATTTCTAACCTTTCAATGAACATGATTGGATTATAACTGCAGATCAATGATAGCTTAGTTATGTCTGCAATTATATAAAATAAATGACTATATGCAACATACATGAACACATACAGCCCCTTACAGTCTCTGATATGTTACTGATTACAGAAAAACTACACACAGCAGACATTTAGCCCTTATTTAAAAATATCCCTGTTAACTAATAGTGTTCAGCTGCACGTCTTGCTCCACCTGGTACCCTTTTGTTGTGCTGGGTTCCCTTTGGAAAGGTTACCCAAAAAGTGGTTCGCTTTTTTAGTACCTTTTGACAGTGGAGATGGGCATAAAAGCGTACCGAAACGTACAGTACAGTACCACTCAGTGGAAACGGGCCATAAATCAGCTTTTGTTCCTTAAAGTGTTTGTCTATCAGTGTTGTCATGCTGTTGCATAATCACAGAAAGTGGCATGAAATGGTTTTAAAATGACAATAATCAACACACAGTGCAGTCATTTCTATCACAATTTATCATACAACAGAAATGAGTGATCAGGACAGGTCTATTGGTGATGAGCAGCTTCATCAGTAGCCTATTAATGCCATTTTTGTTTGCATTTCACAAAATATACATGCATAATGAAGTGCAAAAAAATAAAATCATTCCTTTTAATTATTAACAAAAGTCACAATATGGAATCTGCAGTCATTTACTTGGTATTTCTGCACCGAATTATCAAAAATAAATAAATAATCTGCAGATTTATGTGAAATAATTTCTGAAATATATTAGTTAAAAATAAAATACGAAATACAAAACTATTTATTTACGATGCAAGTCTAATCAGATCAAAACGTTTTTTATAATGTATCTGTAGGGTCCACCCAGTTAGTTCAATGATGGTGTCCACTGGTGGATGAAGGTTCAATGCATGGTTTCCGCTACATTCATTCTTCCATGGCGGGGCGCCACGCCAAAATTCATCCCGCCATGGCTACATTACAGCTTCTCATTAAAAACGATTAAATTTTTTTTATAGCCGGTAAAAAAAAATAAATTAAAATAAATTAAATTTTTTACCTTTTGAGGTTACATGCTGACTGACTGACTGACAGGTGCGTGATGCGTGAGGCCAGCAAACACACAGCCATTTCACTTTACTTCAGGACGCATTAATGCTACTCTGTAGGACTATTAAAGACATTCATAAATATTCCTAGCAAATCTAATAAATGCTGGAGACATACTTGTTACATAAACGCACTAAATCGCACCCAGCAGCGTTTTTTTTGAGAGCGCACATGAAGATCTGCGTGCTCTTGAAGCGGCTTATATTTGAGGTGGCGTGAAAGAAGTTTTGTGCACAACCAAAGGAAATCAGCGCGCAAGCACAGAGATTCGCATGATCGTAGGCTATTATATAAATGTGATCCCAACTTCTAATACTGTGCTCACGACATTTGTCATTGAAATAATAACGCCACAGGTAGATCCATGTAAAAAAAATAAATAAAAAAATAAATAAATAAAAATAAAAGGCCTGCCGCCACAGCTGGAAAAAATCCTAGAGGAAACACTGCAATGCATGTTCGGTCTTTTCAGTGCACAATGTTGATTTACTTTAAACCTAAATCATATCTGACTCCAATTTTAGTATGAGGTGGTTTAGAATATTAATATATTTATCCTCGTCTTATCTGACTCCATTTATAAAATATTGATAAGATTATTTTGTTTCCTTTAACATTACTTTAGATTATGATTGAATATTCTCTTCGGTTCATTATTGTATGTTATTCTCATTCATTCGGACTCCTATAGCATCCTGAGTCTTTTACCGGCCGAGTATACAATCTCTTAATCACAAGCTTGTCAGTCTTGATCACTAAACAGTGGCGATTGACCGCTCTCCTAAAAAGGCAGAACCCTACTTACTCAGATTACGATACTTTTATGCGGCCCCCATAGAGCTGCTAACTCCTAAATCAAACAGAGCTATTTAGTCATACAATGATCATTACTATGGAATTAAGCAGACCAGTCACACTTAAACTATTAGTAACTTTGAGTAATCACTATACTATCTTATACCCTTTCGTAGTAAAACCAAGAATGCCCTCCAGGAAAGGGGTGTGTGAATAACAAAATGCATTTGCATATAGTGGTAGAGTTTCTGCCTATAGGAAAGGCACACCCTTGGCAGTGGTTCAAAAGATACCTGAAGTTATACATCTATTGTTTCGATTATGTCTATTTCTGAAGGAATGAGACCACTGTGCCAGTCGCACTGAGATATGATAATATGATATGATGAAATGATATCAAGTCACTTGGGTTGATTTAGAACATTCAGAATTTGAAATGACCATTCTGTGCGGGTTGAGAAATGTTTCTAATGTAAATGAAGGAATGGGGGGGGGGGAGCTGGTTTTTCCCACATTCTCACCTGCTGGGTTGTGGAGCGGATTGTCTCTGTTTTCGGCTCATGTTAGAACTGTCAAAGACATCTAAATATTTGTGATATCTTACGTCCTACGATATCTACTAAGACCGAAAATTTTACTTTACAAACTGTATATACTTTCAAAATAATATATATAATATAATATAAATATATAAACATTAGGCATATTAGTTAATAATAATACTGAAATTAATCTGAAAACTGAATGAATACACTTTTCACAGGTTTACATGGGTAAATAAACATTCAATGATGGGGTCTAACATTTCCTAGATTTCTGCAAACGCAGACTCCATGCGGGATTAGTTAATTGCACAATAATGTAATAAATAAATTATAAAATATATTCGATGAAATAGAAATTAATGATAGCGTTTAACATTTCAAATACCATATTTTGTCTAATATATCTCAGATATTATCATATTTGTATATAAAATTCATTATTAATGTGGACTTATTTAAATAATTTAAATTGTAGGCCATTTCTTGTCTCATACCATATTTTTATGACATGAGAGAGGTGTGTGTGTGTTTGTGTGTGTATAATTAAAGTTGTGGACAATTCATTGATTTCATTAATCATTTTTATATTTTATACACCAACTTAGTTTGGTCTAACATGTATTTGTAACAAATATTATTTTTCTAAATCATTTATTTGTATATAAAATGTACAATTATTATTGCAGATTTCTATTTATACTGCAGACATTTCCTTGTTATCATTTCGTTCCTTACTTCATTAGCAGAAGAAATATTTGTCAATTATGCTGCTGACCTTGGCCTTGAAGGTGTGCTGGAGCTCCTCCTTGTAGATCTGCACCTGCTCCTCGTGTTGTTTGCGCAGATCCTGCAGCGCCTGCGACAGCTTGAACTCATAGTCCTGCTGCATGCCGGAGTCCACCTCAACCATACGCTTCTCATGACGCCGCCGCGTCTCGCGCACCTCCTGCACAAACACACATGGATCATCTCACATGCATCATGTATCTTTTATTCGATTAACTCTTGTATTGTTCAAACGGACTACCCTTTGGTTATGTTGGGGCCTGTTTTTACCCCATTATGATAACAGTTTTTAGATTGAAAATCCATGACAGCATCATGCATTCGTGATTGTTGTTGGTTCTCTATTGGAAAGAGGTAAAGCTTTTCATTTCTACTGTTGATCATCAGTTGGCATTAACCCTTTAGATAGGTCTGTGCAAAAGAGTTTCTGTCTTTTATATAGAGTTCAGTGGAGTAAAACTGTTAATTATAGTGAGTGTGTGTGCAAAAATACACTTAGCAGAGCTGAGCTGCTTATTTTGAGTTTCTTAGACATATCAAGATAAATGCACAAAGGTCTCACACACTATACTCAATATAGATGGCAGATCAACAGTAAAAAATATATATATTTTACCTCTTCCTAACAGGAAAAACCAACAATCAAGAATGCATGAATAAATGCCGTCATGGCTTTGCAATCAATTAATATCTTTATAATGGAAGTCAATGGGACAAAACAGTCACCAACATATCCACTGGGTAATAAATAAAAACCATTTAATAAATAATTACTAAAAAAAACATTTCATCAGACAAACAAACATTAAAAGTACACTATTTAAATATTAATGTAGGATAAACTAATTCAAGTCAGCTCATTTCATAAAACAAAAACATTTACTGATCATACTTGTAATACTTTAGCAGTTGTTTGCTATTACTTGAAGCACTTTGGGATTCTGTATGAATATAACGTGCATTAAAAATAAAATGTATTCTCATAATTAATAAAAGATTTTAATAATTCTAACAAGTCTAAAATCCTTGTATAATTAATTGAAAAACTTTTTCTGTTGTTATTAGTACACAAATGTAGCTACAGAAGAGTCCAGCTTTAAATAGGAAAATTGATCAAAGCTCTGGTCATTGTTGAGTAAGATGCTAATGGTCTAATCCGATTCAATGAACTATGCTATGCTAAGCTAAATGTGCTCCCTCCAGACACTGAGGATCAGCTAAATGATTCATTAATGCTACAACTCAGTTTACCTCTAGTGTAGCTGTAAATCCAAACCATTCCCTTTAGCGAGTGTCACCTGCTAAACGAATGTCAGGGCACTCTGTACTTGCTTCAAATGTAGACTTTATAAAGACTAACTGAGATTAAAAACGGCTCATGCTGCATCCTAGTTTAGATCATGATTAAAATTTGTTGTTTGCGTGGTTGCAGGCGTGGAGTAGTCACGTCTGCGATTCATTTTTTTTCCTTCAATCCTCTAATCCTCCACCACTATTTATTTATTTCTTAGTGCTCGACTGTGAACATGTTTTAAGCGTAAAAAGACTAAAAATGGCATCGAAGTCCAGCAAATGTGGGAAAAAAGACCCTCCTAAAGACGATGGAACTGCAGCGCCCGCGGAGTTTAACATGGCGGCCCAAACCAGCCTTCTGGAAGAACATGTAGGCCGAGTTTAAAGCAGCCTTGATATCTTTGGAAACGAGACTGGACTCAGTTACAGTTCAGAACAGCCTGCTCTGAGCTAACCGAGAGCTATGCTAAGCTAAAAGCTAAAACGTCAGACTATGAGGGTCGAAGTCGGCGCAATAACATCAGAATTATCGAAGTGCCAGAATCCGTCGAGGGCCCTCTACCATCTGTGTTTTTCCACGCAGTTCCTGGTGGATGTTATGAGCGAGCGAACCCTACCGTCTCCCCCGGAGAGCGACAGAGCGCACCGCACTCTTGTAGCTAAACCGCAGCAAGGAGGAAAACCAAGAGCTGTGATAGTTTGCTTTCACCGCTATCAGATTAAGGAGGCCGTGATGCAAAAGGCTCGGAAACGAAGGGCTCTCTACAATATCAGGACAAGCCGACTGCTATCTACGATGACTACAGCCCTGAGGTTGTGGAGCAACGCGCACAATACCGTGGAGTTATGGCAGAACTGTACAATCAGGGTTTCAAACCATCCCTCTTCCCGGCAAGACAGAATTACGACTTTAAGATCTCACTGTAATGCCTCGTAGAGAACATTAATGTTATATGCCTTTAAATATATTTACCTGCTGGCATTTTATAAGGTGGATAGGTTATGCCACTGTTTTGATAATATACAATGCCATGTTCTTTACGGCGGACTTTTTGAAATACAGGGCTGAGTTTATATAAGGTAAGGAGAGGTAAGGAAGAGTGTGAATTGCATTGAGTTTTTTGAACGTCGTTTCATGTTAATAACAACGTTTCTAGGGGGTTGGGCTGATCTAGTGGGAGGGTTGGAGTTCATTACGGGATGGTGCCATGATCATGATGTTTTTATATGTAGCTTTTTCTATACGGAGTGTTCATATGTGGGTCTTCAGTTTTCATTTATTTTTTATTTTCCTTTTTTTCTTCTTTTCATCTACAGCCTTCTATTTTTTGTAATTATGGGTAGGGAGTTGAGATTAATGAGCTGGTACGTCAAGGGCCTAAATACCATAGTGATGAGAAATAAAATTCTTGTAGATCTTCGACAGCACAAAGCAGAGATTGCTTTTTTTCAGGAGACTAATTTGCATATTAGAGATCATTCTTGCCATAACCAGAAGTGGAATGGGCAGTTTTTTCATTCACCATTTCAAGCTAAGGCGAGAGGTGTGGCAATTTTGATTGACAAGAACGTGCCGTTCACCCCAAACAACATCACTGCAGATAAAAACGGACGTTACATTATTGTTACAGGCACTTTATGTAAAAAGAATTTAATTCTAGCAAACTTTTATGCCCCAAATTGTTGAAATAATTTTTTTTTTTAAACATGCCCTTTCACTCCTTCCAGATCTTAGTTCACATTCTCTTATTCTTGAGAGTGATTTCAATTGCTGTTTGGAGGCATTCTTAGACCGCTCTTCTTCTAAATTATGCTCCAAGAAGATCTTCTAAATACTTGAACAGTTTTTCTTCTGATAATGGTCTCTCCAATATTTGGCGTTTTCTAAATCCGCCAAGTTTTTTACTGTGCAAACCAAAGTATTATCATTTCAGATCATGCCCCCCTTATTCTTGATTTAAAGTTTTCAAACCTTCCCTTGCTAAAGGCCCGTGCACACCGAGATGTTTTTTGCTCGCGTTTTCCATCAACGTTTAACGCCTCGTAACTATTTAAAGGGCACCAATCTGATTGTGCACACCAACACGCAAAACGGCAGACGCAAAAGCGTCATTTAAAAAATAAAACGCCTCATGCTCTTTTTTTTATTTGACGCTGCGTCAAAACCTTCTCTACCAATCAGATCGGCACTGCATGAAGCTGCTGAAGTTACCGTAAACAGCACTTAGAGGAGCTCAAGCGCAAAACTATCAATGCGAGCGCACATTGAAGAAGATGCCCAGAGGCGATATGAACATGGAGCTGATTATTGCTCTTGTAAACAACAATAATTTCTTCATCGCTAGTGCTGCTACTTGAACCATCCATCCATTTCACAAAGAAATGTGCAGCAATAGCCTAATTGAAGAAAATTTACTGTGCAATTCAACTTCAATCATTAAAAAAGTAAATAAGGAAACTGAATTGTGAAATAAGTGACCGTTTACATCCCTAGCTAGTTGTGCGTCTGACCTCATCAAACATGCTTTTCCTAAACTCCAGCTCCTCCGTCAGGCTCTGGCAGCGGTTCTCCAGGTCCACCCTCATCAGAGTCTCCACCTCCAGCTGCTTCTTCGCCACTCCATGAGCATCTTCAGCCTGTAAACAGACACGTATAGGTGAAAGCGTCAAACACGTACATCATGCTCGGGCTGCTCCCCTCTGAATGAACACACATCAGGGTTCTAACATATTTTCCAAAGTCAAATTAAAGCACTTTCCAAGTGCATTTTCAACCTTTTCCAGCACTTTACAGGTGTGCAAAATAGCACATCTACATAAACATGCTTCACCACATTATATCAGATGCTATAAGTTCAAGTATTCTGTAGTATAGTATATAGTGTTGAGCTTGGTACTGATGTTCACCGACTGCAAACACAGATAGACACACTGGAGCGTTTCAGAGTCGCGTCACTTTTAACAACACTAATAGTATACATTGGAAACTTTGATCAGTACCCAGAATGTAATTACTGTCATTATCATCTCAAATGGGCCATCTTCCCACTTAAATGTATATTCATTTTAAATTTCATGCATTGTTCAATTATGAAGCTGTAATTGCTATGCATCGTGTGTGTATATACACATGTATGTGTGAATTTACATAAGTATTAAAGATAAGCTGGTATTTACATAATATATGGTGTATATTCATGTAGAAATACACAAACATAAATATACATATATTATGTACAGTATTTATAATAAATTTATGTATAATTAGATATGATCGATAAATATTTAAATATATACAAAGATTTTATACAATAGTCACTGTAAAATTATGAGTCAAGAAAACTTTAAGTTGCTTTAACTTATTTGTATTAATTAATCAGGTTTCAACTATTTGTTTTTTAATCATGCAAAGTTTAACTTAACACTTTAAGTCCCTTTGATCCAAGTTGTCATGACTAGAAAGTTTATTTGATTCAACTAAACCATTATTAAACAGCTTTATTATTATTCACTTTACAGCGCATGCATATTATATACACAAATATATTTTGTAAATACGAACTTTCTTTATATTAGGCTACCAGCACATGTGCAGACTCTTGAGTTTACATTAAGCAGCAATAATCATATATTTAAATCCTATTGTGTAGTAATTGCATCATTAGTGTATTATTATATGTCTGGCAGCCCAAAATTGGAACAATCTGATATTCAAATTTTATTTTCTTGAGATGCAAATATTGCGATACGAATACGGTTTCACCAGATGGTTTGAATAGCTCCGTTTAGAGTCTAAAAACTGCGGAGTCTAATAGTACAGAAATTAAATAATGCAAAAAAATTTAGTTTTCCTCAATTTTGTCTTTTCCAGTCCAAATAAATTCTTAAATCAAGTATAAATATTTTGTTTTTACTTTCAAAAGTAACAGATTAAAATTAAGTTAAACTTAAAACAAGTGAAATAATCTTGTTTCTCAGTTTGAAATTTAGATTTTTGGACTAGCAAAATTCTCAAACCTAATACGGACTCAACACTACATATCCTGCGATGTGACTACTGCAAATGCACACATTGTGATTCCCATGCTGAAACTATATACTGTGCTGCCGTATTAGGGACAAACAATTCTGAAAGTGGTTTCGGGCGCTGTATCCTAAATCTACACACATTTCAAACCTTGAAAACACTAGATTACATTTAAGCATTGTGCTGGCTTTCCAACAGACTGACCTTGGCGAGTTGAGCCTTGAGATCAGCCAGTTCAGCGCTCAGAGAGGCGTTCTCGCTCAGCGCCGTGTTCAGCGCAGCTTCGTTCTTATTATACTGCGCTTCCAGATCCTTAATGCGCACCAGAGCCGCAGCCAGATCGCCATCCTTCTTCTTATAGCTGCAAAACACACACACACACACACACACACAAACAAACACACCTTCAGGAGCAGCCCTCAGTAAACACAACACACTCTTGTGATTGATTTGACTTGGTTTACAATTTAAAGTAAACTATTGCAGGTAGAGCTGCACGATTCTGGCTAAAATGAGAATCTCGATTTTTTTGCTTAAAATAAAGACCACGATTTTCTCACGATTCTGTGGATGTAAAATAAAGGTATGGTAAAAACAAACATATGGCAAAACACCAATAATAATATGTGTAGGTCTACTGGTTTCTATAAATAATTCTATTCTACTTATAATAATTCTGATGTTGAATTATTATGTTTGAGATATATGCTTGCAATCTGTCATATTAGACAATTTTATTCACTGGTAAAATCAGACATTTGCCATTATCAGATTATATTCAACAATATATAGGCTAAAGTAGTTATACTGACATTGTAAACTTTATTTTCATGCACAATTGTGGGTTCGCTATGAAAGAAAAATATCAAATGCTTGCCGTAATCATAACTCTAAAATGCGATAAGATCATTTAAATGAGGTGCACACTTTCGGTTTCATTTTGACTGCTAAGTGCTTGTTCATACTTCGCGCGCGGCTCCCAAACGATCACTCTGCGCCACAAACTAAATATTATTTACAACTGTCCATGTCCACAGTGTCCATGTCACTGAGCAACGTGTGTGAAACAATGAACAGACTCGTGCAGCCACCTTCTCTCCTGAACTTGAAAATATGATTGGCAGAGTCGTAGAAATGCTGGATTAAGATCGTTTAGGGGGACGACTCGAGATCGTGATCTTTTTTCGATTAATTGTGCAGCTCTAATTGCAGGTTTTCAGATGTAAATTTGAGAAAACGCGGGATGGTCTTTAATTAATACCAAAAACAAAAGTTTTTCACAGACCCCAAAATCTACAACAGATGCCTCCTTTAACAACATTACTAAAAAAAAAAGTGAAAATAATGTCAAAGTTTCAAAAAGTCCTGAAAATATACTACAGTAATTTATAGTAAATACTATAGTGTTTTAACCATACTGACACTGACACCTGCAATAGAGATAGAGATGTTGCACAATCAGTTAAAATATTGCTAGAATTGTATTTTTATGCATGGCCGATCACCAAAAATGATTGAGGTCATGTCCATATGTTGTGTCGATATAGGGATTATTGTGATAGGCCTAAGTCCTACAATGGATGTCAATGGCTGCTTTTATTTATGAGTATATTCTAATGTTTAGGTGCACTGTCCCTTTAAGATTTTCAGTTGTGCTAAAAAAAACTACTATAGAGGTCAATGGCTGCTTTTTTCCAAAATTCTTCAGATTATCTTAACAAAAACTGAGCGTGATAAAATTTTTAGGTGCACTGTCCCTTTAAGATTGTTTAGTTGTGCTAAAAAAACAAACTATCTTATTTAAATATAAAAATTTAGTATATTTTAAAAATTTTAGGTGCACTGCCCCTTTAAGATCCTCAGATGTGCTAAAAACTACCATGGAGGTGCGTGGGTACTTTTCCATAACATTCTTAAAAATATCCTATTCAACATAAACAGTCAATTAATTTTTAGATGCACTGTTTCTTAAAATAAAAACTACCATGTATGTCAATGGTTGCTTTTTCCCCAACATTATTCATACAGAATATCAACAAAAACAGCACATTTTATTGTTTAGGTGTACTGTCCCTTTAAGACTCTCAGTCGTGATCAAAACAAACAACTATGGATGTCAAATGGCTGCTTTTATTCCCTCAACATTCTTCAAACTATCTCATTTAACATAAAATCAGAGTACACTTTAATTTTTAGGTGTACTGTCTCTTTAAGACTCTCAGATGTGCTCAAAACTCAAATAAAAATCCCCTTGAGCGCAGAGGCGTGTGCCAACCTCAGGTTTGTATGATGATGTGGTTTACACAGTCGCCCACAGTCAGAGCGCTTAGCAACAGACTTCCTGTTTGTGTGTTGATTAGCAACGAGATGTGATGCAAACTGCAACAAGTTAAACCTGAGCAGGATTTCGCTACGACCGCTTTATCCGCGGCAGCAGCAGATGGGGTGGGATTTAAAGTCAGGTTAAGTAAGCCCGACTTAAGTGGAAAGACCACCAGTGACTTAAAGCCTTATGGGTAATTAAAAGACTGGGATAATAAAGCCAACAGGCGATTTCTGAGTCACATGACTGGCTAAAATGATGTATTATTGTGCGATGCTCACTTGCGCGTGACCTCCTCAAGCTCAGAGTTGACTTTTCCCAGCTCGATCTGAAGTTTAGCGCGCTCGCGAGCCGTTTCGTCCAGCACACGGCGAGCATCGGCCAGTTCAGCCTCATATAGAGACTTGATCCCAGACACCTTAAACACACACAAACACACACACAGACAGACAGATTAGCATGATGACAAACATGACAGATCCTGGAGAAACTGCAGCAAACTGAAGATCATGCAGTAGGGCTGAACATTATATCAATATCTCAATGCAGCGCTCGCAAAACTGCTAGCCTGGTGTCCAGGGGCTATAATGTTTTCCAGTCGGCTAACAAAAATTGATCTACTCTGCCCATTGGACTATCTTAATAGGAGGAAAAATATAGGCCATTTCAATGCTTTAACAATATATAAATCAAATGTGGTTATTGTCAAAAAAGCCTATAGTGAATGCCATTATATATTTTTTTATTTAAGTAAACACTTTTGTTTTTATTCAGTAAATATCCTTTCTATTTAAGCCATTTGAATTTATTTCGGGCTACCAAAATCTGAAGCGTGCCTGCCCGAAAGGCTACTAGCGATTTGTAAATTTTGCAAAGCCTAAATTTTGCAGATCTATCCAAAAGTCACATCGCAGGATTTGATTATTTATTAAAAGATGAAAGTATGAAGATATTATTGTATGCAATTATTTATACAATAACCATGTCATTTACATTTTGATAGTTCAATTTCTATAGTTCAATACTTTTAGACTCCCAAGAAAACCGTAAAGCACCATTTACTGAACTTTTATCATTTTTAAACATGTTTGTAATTTATAATATTTATCATGCAGATGCACAGCATTGCAAAATCCATAATCCCTGCAATTGAATGAATGAAATCCTTCTAACTAAAGCTATATTTAATTCATCTTGTGCAATTATATTCGTATCGCTATTTAAAATCGCAGCAAAACTAAATATGTCAATGTCAGTTTTACCAAATATCGTGCATAGGCATGGGCCGGTATGAGATTCTGACGGTATGATAACCTTGAATAACAAATATCACAGTATTGGGATTTCTGCTTTCAAATAAGTTATTGTCAAATGTCTGGGTAAAAAAACAGCAACTTTTACCTCAAATACCCAATAATATTACATATTATATTGCACATATTTTATTTTAACAAACATTAAAAATATTTTGGAACAGAAGCTTTTGATGTAGAGGTTCCTTTTCTGATCGAGATACTGTTGCCCTAAAAAAACTCAATAAAATAGTTGTGAAAAACATGTAAAAAAGTATATAATAATAATAATAATATAAAAAAAAACGTACATATATCTTAGGAATGGTATAACAGAGAACTTTGGTGGTTTTAAAACCCTTGACTTTTCCAAACTGCGGTAAACCTTGTAACCGGTTATCATCCCATGCCTTGTCATTTTACGTTTGATTGTTTAATTTCTTAATAAACCATAATGCGCTATTTATTTATTTTTTATTGTATTTGTGCATGTTTATGTGCTTGTAATTTCTTATATTGCATGTAGATGCACTGCAAAGAAAAATCATCAATCATCCCCAGTCAATGTAATTGATGAAATCTTTCCAAATGGAGCTGTATTTAATTCATCTGGTGAAATTTTATTCATTTCACAATATCTAATCATAGCAAAACAAAAATATGGCAACGTCTGATTTTTCCAATAAGGTGCAGCCCTATCATGATGCGTTCAGGATGCTAACACTATGCAGCGGTTATATCAGAAACATAAAAAAAAAAAAAAAAAAAAAAAAAAGTCAAATAAATAGATTTAGTTTCATTAGTCTATATCTCTGTCCTGGAGGGCCGGTGTCCCTGCAGGGTTTAGCTCCAACTTGCCTCAACACACCTGCCTGGATGTTTCAAGTATACCTAGTAAGACCTTGATTAGCTTGTTCAGGTGTGTTTGATTAGGGTTGGAGCTAAAATCTGCAGGACACCGGCCCTGCAGGAACAAGTTTGGTGACCAGTGGTCTATAGAATTAGTTTAATATGAAGAGCAGACATCTCATTCTGGCGTCTGCATTAGTAAGCTTACTTTATCTGGACAGAAAATTTAAACGTCAAACTGTGGATTAAATAGTTATGTTGTTATTCATTGTAACATGTAATTTTGTCAAAATTAAACAACATGCTTATTAAAATAAAACTATGATTACAAAAGGGTAAAACCTAGTAGTTTGAAAGATATTAGTTCAATTTAAAACTTGAAAAATCACAATTAATTCATATTTTGTGGATAAACTGATTTTAGCGTTTTTTTTAAATCCTGCTTCTGAATCCTGAACAATTTTTTTTTTTTTTTTTTTAATTTGTGATTATTACAATGTAAACAGCTTATATTTTTGCCATGTATAAAAAAAACATTTACTTGATCTTCATAAGAGTGCAAAAAAAAAAAAAGTCACACTGTCCTCATTGACCTCAAACCAATATTACACCCCTATTTTATTCAAGCAAGAGGCTTCGCATTGTTATTCAATGTTAAATTTAAATGATTTCATAATGTTGCGCCAATTTCGTATACATTTGGCGCTCATTTGTTTTTACAGCTTTGGCATGTAGTGCATGCATTCAATTTGGCTTGGAGATGTGCAGGGTAAACTTATTAAATTATGCGATTAATTAATGCACCATTAGTATATCAGTTAGTTTTGTATGTATATAATGAGAAACATGCATGTTTAAAAAAATATTTTAAAAAATATATAATATTACTGTTATTTTTTACTCAAAAACAATATATAATAGAAAAATAAATTTAATTGGAAACATAAAAACTAAACACTCTAAATGAACAGTAAAATACGTTCAATAAATTTGGACAGGTGCTAGCTTAGTATTTTCGACTTATAAGAAAAACAACGCATGCTAATATCCATGTTTGGTTTTCAGTTAAAAATAAGTGGTAAAAGTTGAGCACAATTTTAAGCTGCATTAAAACTATTTTGTTAGAACTATTAAAGGTGCTTTTGCAGATCTTAACTGCATTTAACTTTCCTCTGGTGCACTTTTGATCAATGAGGGCTGCAGTTTGACAAAGACTATTATTTTCAACATCATTCATCATCTTTTTGCAGAGCACGTCAATATTCTGACAGGATCATGCATGCAACAAATAAAACTGAAACTGTCCTGTTGTAGAAACTGCACTTGTGATCAATGAGGCCTGGTCAGCGTTCAAAACAAAGACAGCAGATGGTGGAGACTCGCATTTGAAAAGCGCTTCTGGCCACTCCCAAAACTTGAAGGAAAACGCCCAAACTAACTACACAAACTCTACACTCCGAGCTCAACGCTGGACAAAGTTTACACACGCATTTATACACACAGAAAAACGCACAGCTGAGAAAATGTGAAAAAACCTAGCAGATAAACGCAACAAATCCAGCAAATGAAAAACACATGGGCGACTTTTCACAGGACACTCCCTGAAGGCATTTCCGACTTCTTGTGCACTATAATTTGTATGCGTGTTAATGTGGTTTATTTTGATGTATTATTACTTTTAATTGGTATTTTTATTCAATTATTTAAACTACTACATATTCTTCTTAATGTAAACTTTATAAACGTTTTGGCAATACATTTGTCATGCAAATAAAGCATTTATTGAATTGCTATTACATTGAAAAAGTTTCTACTACTACAAATAGAATTTAAAACATTACAGACAATCGCATTTTAACAATCACATTAATGATTTCTAGTGTGTTTTGGGACATATTCCTTTAGGAGTTGCTAGTTTTAACATGCCACCACTAAAAGCCTTATGAAAACAGTATTGACTTAAGTTCTTGCCCTGTTTTCAAAAGTATGGCCCACGTGATCTATAGCTTTATTTCAAAACCAATTTGCATCGTATGAACATTAAAACCATTAAACGGCCATCCGGAATGGTTTCCCCAGTATGACATGCATTATAGCAGTGAATTTATAAACGTATGCAAAAAATTGTTTTCAGGGCACATGTTAGAATGAGCGAAAACTTCCTCGCGCGATTTTTCAAATGTTTCTTAAAACACTTAATTAATGAAAACAGTTAATGTAAAAAGGAAATTTTCCCGCTCAAAACCGCAGGTTTGAAGCAAAACAAACATTTTAAAAAGTAACGTATAAAAAAGATGGGTGACGTTTACAAACGATTTTTTGCGGCAAGAATTCAAAACGTTTGTTTTAAAAACATCGAAACACTTTCAATTCACCAATTTAGTTTACATAGAAATTTGTTTTTAATCCCCCGTTTTAAGGCGCAGATTTTAGGTAAATACGAGTTTATAAAAGCAAGACGGGTGACCACAAGAAAAAGCAAACAACCCCCCCCCCCCCCCCTCCTCAATGTTTCATAAACATTAAATAATGCTACATTGACTAGCATAGTTTACCTTAAAACGCGATTCCCCGCGTAACAACGAGGATTTGATGCATAAACGAGTTTATAAAAGGCTAAAGGAGTAACATTCACAAAAGTGAACACTTTTTATTCAATAATTCAACCTTTAGACTTAATTAACGTTACAATGACCAACATAGTTTAGCTTAAAACGCGATTCCCTTCTCAAAGTGGTGGATTTAACCCAAAACCGAGTTTGTAAAGCAAAAGGCGGGCGGCGTTCGTGGATTTATGGATCAATAAAAACGCACACAAAGGAGCGGAACGCACCTCTCTGGTCGTGACTTCCTCCTTCTCGGACACTTTAAACTGCAGCCGGTCGTTCTCGAGCTCCAGCGCGCGCACGCGGTCGATGTACACGGCCAGGCGGTCGTTGAGCGCCCGCAGCTCCTCTTTCTCTTGCAGGCGGGAGATCCGCGCGGGGCTCAGCGGCGTCTGGGCGGCCGACGCGCGGCTCGGGGTTGCGGTCGCCATAATTATGATCGCTTCAGACCCTCTTCTTCACCTCAGAGAAAAATACACACGCTCCTTCGCGTCCCACTGAGCAGCGGCCTCCGAGTCGCACTTGCAGCGGCTTTCCGGCGGCGCGTTAGGAAGTTTGCGTGGTTTTGTGGAGTTTTCTCAATGAAAGCGTGTGTTTGTAGTCCGACTGCTGGTTGGCTGCCTTTGAAACGGAGGTGTGAAAAGAAAATGGCCGACGCTAACGTAAAACCGCGCCAAAAGTCGCCCGAAGTGCTCACTGGGGGTTGTAGTCCAAAATGCTGTTAAACTACATGGGAGCTCGATATTATCTTTTCTTTTTGTTTAATCAATTTGAAGGTTCATATTTATCAAATAAACTTTTTATAACTTTTATATATATATATATATATATATATATATATATATATATATATATATATATATATATATATATATATATATATATTCTTTTCCATTATTATTTCTTTCTCCTTTTTCCCGTTTGATTAAGTAAAACATGGTATTACGATACGTTCTGTCTTATATTGGTGTGTTACCTCACGCTTATGTTTGTCTAAATGAAATAAAAAAGGTTTTGGAGGAGACTTTACATTAATTTAATAAAATCATTGAATCAATTGAATCAGTGAGAGTCTGCATTTGTATAATTTTGAAGTGCTTCAGATTGTGTTAATTTCTTTCTGTTGTGTTTTAATTGTTCTTTGTTTTATTTAGACACGAATTGATATATAACGCTGACAAAATATGCTGCAAAATATACTAATGAAACATAACAACAACAACAATAATAATACATTATAATTATGCTGTGCTTCTCACGCTTAAGCATAATACAGGAAAAAGGGGAGTAAATATCAACAATTAAAATACCACAATATTTTATAAACTTAAAATGAAAAAACGATCAAAAAATATATATTTTTACATTTTCTTAAAACTACTTGAGGTGAGGTCTTCTAACAGGCACACACACACACACACACACACATGTATTTATAGATTTGTTTACTCATTTGTTTATATTTGCTTATTTATTTATTGTTTAATTTATGCAGGAGTTTATGCATTTATTCACTCATTTGTTTATATATTTGCGTATTTATTTATGTATTGTTTTATTTCTGCAGGAATTTATGCATTTATTTATATATTTGCACATTTATTTATTTATTTATGACATTAGGCATTTATTTACTCATTTATTTGTATATTCGAATATTTATTTAATTATTGTTTTTGCAGGTTTCATCCTACATATCAAATGTGTTCAAAACCTACATTGGTTTAACAAAAACCTTTAAAAAGTGTTTAATCAAAAATATATTCACTGGTTTGTTCAATCCACGTTACAGAAAACTGCAGTGGGGAACAGTCAAGGTACTATACTCATCTATTACATGTGTGTATTTTAATAATTTGGTTAGCCACAATTATTAAGCAAAACAAAATAACAAAAAAATCAGAAACAGAAATTTCCTATTTAAAAAATAGCCACATTCCTATTTTTGCATGAGGAATTTAAAATGAAAACAAAATAAAATTTTGACACATTCATGAGTTTGATACATCAAAAAGTTATTTATTTTAAATTTTTTGTAATGTAAAAAACACATTTTGAACAGATTGTTTACTTTCAAACAGCCGTAATGAACCGTTAAAGATCTTTTAATCAGTAGATGGCGCCATTAATATTCCCCGCGAACTGCTGTCTTTTCCGTCGCGTGTGAAAGTTCAGCTTCCGCCTGACAGCGGTCCTTCCGGTTTGGACGCCATTAGCAAAGAGCAGGTATGAATCTCCGGAGAATCACAAGCGTTAAAATCACTTTAATATCTTACACATCGAGTGTAAAATCACGACAGAAGTGCTTGTTTTTGAAAATATGAAGTTTAAAAAACGATTTCCGCCCATTATTGTGAAGGTTTATCACGATGTTCGTCTATTTTTAAGGCAGTCGCTTCGAGTAGACGCGAAAAAGCGCTCAGATGGCTTTCTCAAACGCTGCCGTTACAAATTTAACAAAACGATGACGAATTAACAATTCAGACGTGTATACGACGTTGCATTTACATTTCTTGCTTGTTTTATATTGGTATTTAACCTTTTTGAGCGCGTGTATGTAATCTTAACCAGCGACGGCATGCGAATAACCATATTAACATGTATTTCAAGCGTGTTTGTACATATGTATGAACAAGACATCCTTTTTTAAAATTGTTTATTAAATATTAACTATGTCTGAGCTCTTATGTGACGCGTTAATGTCGAGAATGAAGTATATGTGCTTTATAACCTAACTGGTGTAAGAATAGTTAACGTTATTCAGGCATAATTACACCTACAAAGTCAGAATATTACATCTATTAAATATTCGTACATTGCAGTGAGTTTATATAAAGCACACATTTCTATAGAAAATATAATTATTATTTATCATTATAATGCTGTTTCACACATGCTTATTGCACAATTATATATAGCACATTATATTTAAACATATATCTAACCAAACTATTTTTATTTTATTTACACGTAACACTTATAAAACATTTATATTTAAGCACACATGCAGTTTAGGATATGTTTGTGTAGTTTATTTTGTTTGTACTGTACATGTATTCAAGAATGTTATCTATAATTTATATCTAATACTTCAGCCCAGCTATGTTCTCTCACTGTGTTAAATTAGCAGTTTACCTCCTATAAATCACTTATCCATCACCACACGGGCCTTTTAGGACAGATTTATTCTGCATGTTTATTCAAGAATAATTACACTCAAACAGTAGAATATGCTATTATTTTTTAACTCTACATAATATATACAGTACATAAGCTCTTATTCAGCACACAAATGTCTTAATACTTTAGCACAGCTATGTTCTCTTACTGTTTTAATATCACAGTTTACCGCCTATAAAACACTTATCCATGGCCACACATGCGTTTTAAGACAGTTTATTCAAGAATGTTTACACTTAAACAGTATAATCTGCCTTTTTTACTAAATTGTGCTTATATATAGATATATAGATGAGCAATTCCAGCATTATGGATGTGACATTTGCAGTAAACTCAACATAAATTTGCATAGAACGTATATGTTAGCATTATATTGAAACTTTTGTTTATATTTTCCAGAACAACTGACCACAGAGTTATGGGAGCAGAAAAATATCAATTTATTAACATGTTTTGTACTTTATATGAGGAAAATAAACGGGCGTTATGGATGTGACAAAAAAAGTCTGCGGGTTTACAGTACACAACATACTTTGTTGAAAATCTGTGAATTAAACTGCACAACCCAAAAGACGCAATGCTAATCAAATGGATAAGAGTTGGCTCTCTATAAAACAAACGTGATTAATTTAATATTTTCACATTCATGAGGAAAAAGTTATGGATGTGACAGATGTAAAATTGCCGCTTGTGTGACTTTGGTAAATCTAATAGAATAGTTTGAAAACATTGACAGATGCATTTTTGCTTATTTCTAAAGTACTGGAAAATACTTGTTTACACAAAAAAAAAAAACAGAAACCTGTTCCGTATTTTAGTGAAAACGTAGGGTTTTTTTTTCCATGGCACATTGACATTTGCACGGTCATATTCATATATTATTATTACCGTTATGAGCCCTTATAAAGCACCCAGATGTCTAATATTTAACCCCAGCGATGTTCTCTCACTGTGTATTTAATGTAAGGATTAATTGATGATGAGTTAGAAAATGATGTGCAGCTAAGGTGAAGTGTAGGAGTGTTTATTTTCTGATAATTCAACCACTCAGAGTGCATTATTCCACTTCTACTCTTATACTTGAGGCTAAAACTCGCAATTCAGATGTTGTATTTAAGACATTTGTGAGGTTTTTGTCTTAACTTTTTTGTTTGTGTTGGACTGGTTTCTTGCACATCTCCAAAGCCTTCTGTTGTGTTTTAATGTGATTTTTGACGTTAATACTGAAATCCTGAGAGGTTGTGCATTTAAAATATTGAGATTTCTCTTGTTTTCTTGTGATCACGACCTAATTTTCTTGGGATCTCAGCATAATATCACAACTTAATATTTCTGTTTTTATTCTATTATTATTTTTATTATTACTTATGATTAATATTTAGACTTTTCCTGGTCATATATTTTATTATATAGACCTATAATTGCTCACTTTTTATATTTAGAGAAAAAAAAAATGGTTACCCTCAATATTTTTCTGCCTATTCAGCATTAGAGGATGTCCGTGATTACAAGCAGTAAATGCACAGTATTATTCGGATTAGATTAGCAGGGACTCGTTTTTCTTAATTATTTTTAAGTAATTGAAAATAACATTTTTGCTTTAATTTATTCTATTAATTTTTATTTTTTTAATTGCTTAATGAAAAGTCCTGCCAAATTTAATGCGGAATACTAGGCACTTACTGCTTTGAATCTAGGACCTGCTCTTATGCCAAAATATTGTTAACAATTGTTAAAATAATGTGAAAACAACTTTTGATATGTCGAAAACGAGAAATACACAGGGCCTCTAAGGATTTCATAGTTGTGAAATAACTGAAAGTGTAGTGATATGTAGCTTTAATGTGCTCAACCTGCCGGAACTACTTCAGCTGTGCGTTTATCTGATAATAACTGCACACCTTACAATGCTCATCGGCCAATCAGAATCAAGCATTTAGCAGTCTGTATTGAGAATGACTATTGAATTGTTTTGTGTTTCCGCAGAGATGGTTGTCAGATATCCTATGGCGGTTGGCCTTAATAAAGGCCATAAGGTGACCAAGAATGTGTCCAAGCCCAAACACAGTCGCAGGAGAGGGGTGAGTGCTTATTTCACACACTTGATGTTTAAAACAGGGTTCCCTTGGGTTGCATAGTTTTTTGAAATTTTGCTTATTTTTGGAATGTTGCTTATTTTTTGTGATATCATGTAATTTCTTGGAATGTTGCAAATTTTTTGTCATTTCGCATAATTTTTATAATGTTGCGTAATTTTTTGGAATGTTGCGTAATTTTTTGTCGTTTCACGTAATTTTTGGAATGTCACATAATTTTTGGAAAGTTGTGTAATGTTTTAAATTGTTTTTGGAATGTCGCTAATTTTAAAAAATGTTTTTAAAATGTTATTTATTGGAATATCACAATTCTTAAAATGTCGCTTATCTTTTGGAATATCACAATTTTTGGAATGTCACTTTGAATGTTGCGTCATTTTTGGAATGAGAATTTTAAAAAGTATTCTAGACATTCAAATAATGTCAGGGTAATGTGTTGATTTATTTGTGCACTAATCTAATTAGCATCTTTGAATGGAAACAAAGCTACTAAAAGTCGTTGGGTTGAGTGGCAATCTTGTTAAAATCCTATAAACGTTAAATATTCAATAGATTTTTTGTAGTAGTAGTAGTTTTGTTGTTGTTTTTCCCCATCATGCATTGCTGGTGTGGATGTATAACATGTTTGTTGTTTTTCAGCGTCTGACCAAACACGCTAAGTTTGCGCGTGACTTGATTCGTGAAGTGTGTGGTTTCGCACCCTACGAGAGACGCGCCATGGAGTTGCTGAAAGTGTCCAAGGATAAACGTGCTCTCAAGTTCATCAAGAAAAGGGTACGATATTCAATTTCATTAGTGTTCCACTAGTGCAGCGTTTCCCAAGCCTGTTCCTGGAGGAACACCAACAGTATATATTTTGGATGTCTCCCTTATCTGACTCGTTAACTTCAGGGTTTGGAGTCTCTTCTAATTATCTGATGGGTTGATTTAGGCTTGTTTGAGTAGGGAGAGGTTGAAACTGTAGTGTTGATAGGCCTTCAGGAACGGTTGTAAAACACTGCACTAGTGCATTGGCGTTTTGCACTTGCTCCCTTTTTGTTTTTCATATTTTGCTTTTTTTTTTTTGTCCGTATTTTTGTTTGTCACTCTTAATTATAAACAGAAATCTTTAGGAACTTCATGATTCGAAAACGGTTCTTAAGCTACTTTTTCCCCTATTTCCTCAGCCATGCAAATGCATCTTTCCAACTTTACATTTCAACCAGAATTAGAGTTTCTATGCTCATTCTTTGTGATAGGAATCCTATTAATGTTATATTTTTAACTTGTGTACACCGTCAAGATTTAATTTGAATCAGATTCTAATCTGAACTTCAGGGAATTGATTCAACATCACTAGAGAGAAGATTGCACTTAATATTTAGCACCATATTCATGACAGTACAATGAGCATGAAAAAGACGATGTGTAAGAGCTCATTTTTGTCTAGACATTGTTAAAAAGACCAAGATGTCCAGAAAATAAATAGCATTTTTTTTACTAAATTAATAAATTTTACTTCAAGAAATGCAGTTTATGAAAATGACACCAGGGTTGTGCTACAACTAATTAAAATACAATAAAATAATAAAATAATCGTTACTGAAAAGATTTTGTTCTAAATAAATACCTTATAAATAAACTTGCTGAATGTAATAATAAATAACGAAACTAAAAACACAGTAACACTAAAAAAATTGGCCTTAAACCTGTTTATTACATTTTGAATAAATAATAAATAAATAAATTTAATTTTTTGATTGTATAACTATTATAGTTGTACTTCCTATTCTACCTATTTTTGTTGAATTTTGTGGTAAAATGGCATGTTATGCAGCACAAATGCAACATTTGTATAATTTTTGCATCTTTTTTAATGGTTCGCTGTTTTAAACGTAACGCGAGAAAGTTTACATTAAAAAAAACTTTACATTTTCTCCTATCTACATCTAAAATGAGTTTTGCACATTTAATATGATGCCGTGCTTGTATTTATGCGTAATGTTGCACTGATCTTATATGTGATTTCTCAGTAGGACTCAACATTGTGTTAATGTCAGTGTCTGTTTGTGTGTTTTAGGTGGGAACTCACATCCGCGCTAAGAGAAAGAGGGAAGAGCTCAGCAACACACTGGCCGCCATGAGGAAAGCTGCTGCCAAGAAAGAGTAGCCTGTGTAATCATCAAAAATAAAATTGTTTGTGTAAAAACGAGTATTTTTGACTCTTGTGCTTGATTTAAATGTTTGCTGTTCATGTTGGAGCGTACAGAAGTGTGTTTGATCAAATACAGGTTGCTGGAGTAAATATACGAGATGTGTGGCATCTAAACATTCATTATAAATTTAAATATAATGAATAAACTGCTGTCTCTGAAAACGCTTTTACCTGAAAAAAATACTACAATATTAATAAACAAAAAACAATTATTTATGAATATTAATAATAAAGCGATACATTTTTAACAGTTTTAAGTAAAAAAAACTTTCAACCTTGCGCTAACACGTTTTTGTAAGTAATGTTTTTTTTTCAATGTGGATCATACATTTGTGCTTCCCTGAACCTCTGCATGATTAGCAATGCTAATAATATAAACATACATGCAGTGGTTTTTTTCATTCTATACAGAGATGTACATGATTTGTGATATTTTCAACTATCTATTGCCACCTCTAGACATTTATTAGGACTTTTTTATGTCCATGCCATCTGTTGGTATTGTAGGTATTTTTCTACACTATTTAGTTTAAATTGGATGTTATATTCATATTTCGTTTGTAAGTCCTGCTAGCTACCCTTTCTTGTTCATGCAGTACATACAAATTTGGATTTGCACTAAATAATAGATATCAATCCAACACCTCATACATTAATGGACAAGTGTGTTAAATATGCTCCATTTCAAGCTTTTCAGTAATCACCCGACCATTATAACGAGGTAAAGTATCTTCGTTACTGTCGATTTCATATTGCGTAATACTTTAAGGTAGGGGCGATTACTATCGTGGCTGAAATGCTAATAGCTGGAAAGAGGAAAACTAAAGCTAACATGTAATGAATGTGCAGTATTACAGCTGTGTTGTATTATTCAGTGTTTTAGTGTAAAAAGTCGTGTCTACACCACCGAAAAAGCTAAAATTAACATCTGCCATTTTCTTGATTATTAATTTCGCGCCTTTTTTTCTGACGCGCGAACACTTCGGTCTCTAGAGCTAATTAGTTAATAAAATAGATTTGCTATGGCTCGCATCATCTTGTGTTTTATAAGGAGAAAAGCAGCCAAAATACAGTTTAAACAATGTTTTGGTGAGTGTAATACAGTGTTAGCCATGAGTTTAGTTTAGGAATATAAATCGTGCGTCATAGTTTGTCAAGTATTTTATGTAAACATTTTCTATATAGGCCTACAGGGATGTGTATTTATATAAATAATGAATATACACAGTACTCGCAATTATGTAAATGCCATCTTTTATTTTCTATAAAATTAGTCAAGTTCAGTGTTGTGCTTAAAAAATTGGTTATTTATTTCAATTTTAAGCATATTACTCTAAAAAAAACAACAACAACATATTTTTACATTATTTTCCTCAAAATAGTACCTAATTAACACATTTAACTGCTACTTAAAAAAAAACTTTAGAAAATATATGTAATATTAATACACACACACACAGATATGTGTGTGTGTGTGTGTATATATATATATATACACACACACACACACACACACACATACATATATACACACATACATACATTATATATATATATATATATATATATATATATATATATATATATATATATATATATACATATATATATATACATATATATATATATACATATATATATATACACATATATATATACATATATATATATACATACATATATATATATATACATACATATATATATATACATACATATATATATATATATATACATATATATATATATATATACATATATATATATATATATACATATATATATATATATATATATACATACAGAGAAAGAAAGACAGACAGACAGATAGATAGATAGATAGATAGATAGATAGATAGATAGATAGATAGATAGTGATATATTACTTTTTCCCCAAACATTGGCCATAATTAACCACTACAGCACTAATGAAGACCAGATTCTTAGAAGGGACTTGACTTTTTCAAGACACAGTTCCATAATATATATATATATTTATTTATTGTAGAAGATTTGAGAGAAATACATTTAAGGCAGATATTTACACTTATGACACGTGATGAGATGAGCTGAACTGAATATAAAAATCATCAATAAAGGCTGCGCGGCAGCGATGGCAGGACCCCAGAGTCTGGAACGCTTCAGGAATCACGATGCAATCGTTCATCATTCAGACTTTTCCTTCTGTGGATAAAACAAAACTCTCCGTTTCCTCAATCAGAAGTACTTCGTAAATGAAGACTCTTCCTTATAAAATGCTTATTTCGGTGTGGAGAACACAAGGTTGTAGATCTCGCTGTAGTTTTCCACGAAGTGCACTTCCAGGCCTTCAGTGATGTATTCAGGCAGATCCGAGAAATCCTTTCTGTTTTCCGCCGGCAGGATAATGCAGGTCACGCCGGCTCTCTTCGCCTGCCGGAAACATGAACACACATTAATAGTAAAGAAATTCACACTGGTTTAAAACAAGTAAAAGTGTGATTATTGATGACAGAGTTGTCAGTTTTGGGTGAACTGTTCCTTTACTGAGCATCATAATTGGACCTGAAAACCCTGTAGGCCAAAAATGATGTTCGTTCAATGAAACAAGCTTATTTTAAAAGTGTGTTCTGAATTGTTTTAGCTTACAGCAATGGTCTTCTCCTTGATTCCTCCAACAGGCAGGATTTTGCCAGTCAGGGATAGCTCTCCAGTCATGGCAACGTTCTGACGCAGAGCTGTGTTTGTGGCTAAAGACAGCAGAGCCGTGACGATGGTGCATCCGGCGCTGGGGCCGTCTTTAGGAGTCGCACCCTGAAAACAAACACAACCTAAGTCTGGCTTTCCCTCATTCAAAACACTATTGCAATATGAGCTCAACCACTCTCACCGACAGAGCTGTAATAGAAAGTTTTTAATAAAGGGGCGGAGCAACTATGTGCCCCACCCTCTCTTCAACGTTCAGTTTAAATTATATCACATATCAAACAAAAATGCACATTTCAAAGCACTCGACAAGATGTTTAAATGACTTTATCAAATAATAAAAAGAGAAGTAACTCACCTCAGGCACATGGAGGTGAATATGGGAGCTCACGAGGAACTCATTGTCTGGTTGCTCCTTCATGAGGAACGAGCGAGCAAACGTGTACGCAATCTTAGCGCTTTCCTTCATCACGTCTCCCAGCTGTCCAGTGACCTCCAGCGATCCGTCTTTGGGACCATCTTTCCCCGGCGGATCTCTGGGCCGCCTCAGAGACGTCTCGATGAACAGCGTCGAACCACCTGCAGGGGAAAGTATGATTGTTTTTTTCATAGTTTTATACAAAAAGTTTAGGGTACACAAATAGTAGTTAAACGTCAACTCTGCTACCGTCAACCAAGTTACCATCAAACAAGTTAGAATCAACTCTGTTACCGTCAACTCTGTTACTCTGGTACTAACAAGCCAGTAACCGTCAACTCTGTTACTGTAGTACCATCAACTAAGTTACCGTCAACTATGATAACGTCAACTATGATAACGTCAACTCTGTTACTCTGGTACTAACAAGCCAGTAACCGTCAACTCTGTTACTGTAGTACCATCAACTAAGTTACCGTCAACTATGATAACGTCAACTATGATAACGTCAACTCTGTTACTCTGGTACTAACAAGCCAGTAACCGTCAACTCTGTTACTGTAGTACCATCAACTAAGTTACCGTCAACTATGATAACGTCAACTATGATAACGTCAACTCTGTTACTTTGGACCATCAACATTACTTTGTTATTGTCAACTAATTTACTTTGTTATCGTCAACTAAGTGACTTTGTAATCATCAACTAAATTACTTTGTTACCGTCAAATAAGTTACTTTGTTACCGTCAACTAAATTACTTTGTTATCGTCAACTGAATTATTTTGATATCGTCAACTAAATTACTTTGTTACCCTCAACTAAATTACTTTGTTATCGTCAACCAATTTACACAATTAAGTGAATTTGTTACCGTCAACTAAGTGACTTTGTAATCGTCAACTAAGTGACTGTAATCGTCAACTAAGTGACTTTGTTACCGTCAACTAAGTGACTTTGTAATTGTCAAATAAGTTACTTTGTTACCGTCAACTAAGTGACTTTGTAATCGTCAACTAAGTTACTTTACCGTCAACTAATTTACTTTATTACCGTGAACTAAGTGACTTTGTAATCGTCAACTAAGTTACTTTACCGTCAACTAATTTACTTTGTTACCATCAACTAAGTGACTTTGTTACCGTCAACTAAGTGACTTTGGTACCATCAATTAAGTTACTTTGGCACCGTCAACTAAGTTACTTTGTTACTCTCAACTAAGTTACCGTCAACTCTGTTACTTTGGTACCGTCAATTCTGTTACTTTGTTACCGTCAACTAAGTTACTTTGTTATCGTCAACTAAGTTACTTTATTATTGTCAACTAAGTTACCGTCAACTCTGTGACTTTGGTACCATCAATTAAGTTACTTTGGTACCGTCAACTAAGTTACTTTGTTACCGTCAACAAAGTTACTTTGGTACTCTCAACTAAGTTACCGTCAACTCTGTTACTTTGGTACCGTCAATTCTGTTACTTTGTTACCGTCAACTAAGCTACTTTGTTATCGTCAACTAAGTTACTTTATTATTGTCAACTAAGTTACCATCAACTCTGTGACTTTGGTACCATCAATTAAGTTACTTTGTTACCGTCAACTAAGCTACTTTGTTATCGTCAACTAAGTTACTTTATTATTGTCAACTAAGTTACCGTCAACTCTGTGACTTTGGTACCATCAATTAAGTTACTCTGGTATCATCAACTAAGTTACTTTGGTACCGTCAACTAAGTTACCGTCAACTCTATTAATTTGGTACACAGTCAACTCTGTTAGCGTCAACTCTGTTGTGAAGGTTGTCTAAATCCTTTTTACGACTGTTCAGAATATAGTCAGGGATGTCGAATCTTACCCAACATCCTGCAAAGTTTTGCTCCAACCAACACCTAC